CCGCAAGGTGGACTTGTTCTGGAGAGAATTCTTGGAGCCAGGATGGCGGCTATGGGAGAAGGGGGCACCCACCAGCTGCCCACACAAGAGGGGTCACGCACCCCGCTGGCTGCCTGCATAGGAGGTGGGGAATGGGATGCATTCCTGCCAACTGCAGGTTTGGGTTTCCTTGGACAGGCCAAAAAAGATGATTACCTATACAGTGGATTTCTGAAAGCCAAAGAAGACAATTACCTATGCAATGGATTGCGGAAAGTCACTGTGAGTCTGATGACCTTAACAGTGGCAGCATGCACAAGAGGACCGACATCCTAAATGCACCACATATTTTGTTCTGTTGAATGCTTTTGCCAAAAGATGGTTAGACCTGGGGAGAGTCTGTTCACAATTCTCAGGTTCCCTTTATCATATATAAAGGGGGAGGGCAGTGACACCTACATCAAAATATGGTATGACCACTTAATGAGGAGGGGGGTGTAAAAGTAGCAGTGCTGGAATTGGAAACACTATCCCTGACCAGAGAGTCCTCAGTCAGGTGAGGGGGCCAGACTGGGTTAGGGGCAATTGGAGGGGAAGTATATCAGCCAGCTCCTGGGGGGTGTTGCGCTGCTCGGGATGGGCTCCCCTTGGCCCCTGGCTCAAGGCAAGCCATTGCGGCCCTCTGCCCAGGCGGGTTGCCCTCGGCCCTCGGCTCGGGGTGAGCTCCTCAGTCCCTAGATTGTGCCATCTGACCCCTGGGTGGGAAAGGAAAAACAAAAAAAAAGAAGAATGCCTAGGGTATCCAGAGAATGTTACCTAGGCCACCTTCTGCCACCCTCCCCCCAAGTAAACCTGAAAGCAACACCCTCTGTTGCAGACCGAGGGTCCCAAAGAATGGAATAATTTTATAATTACTAATAAAGAGACAAACAGCCAGGAATGTGATAGAGCAGAGAGCATAAAACAGGGGGCCAGCAGTTCTCGACTGAAGACCCCAAGTCAAGCTTCTCTGTGTCTTTATTGAAAATTATCAGGA